GTCCACCGTCCCGGTCCATAGGTACAGTATTGCTATTCGCGCTCAGTAGTCTTCGTTGTGCGTGTGCGTCGTGTGTCCGAGCAGCCACAGGCGCCTTGAAAAAAGGCTAGGGGAGGTATCGCGCACTTTGTGGGATTGCACCACCGCACACAGTACTTTGCATAATTTATACGAGTTGTCAGAAATGTTTTTAAGCAAAATATTTCTTTTGCGGGTAACCTTTGGGTCTAAATTTTGGTTTCATCATTTTGCAACAGCACATTCACCCATTTCAATTTGAAATCTTTACTTTGATTTTCAAATGGTTTTTCAGCTAAACGGGAAAAAGAGAGTTGAAAATTATGGAATTGAGACTTTTCCGTTATTGCATCTGCCGGAATAGCTCAATTGGGAGAGCATCAGACTGAAACTCTGAAGGTTCCCGGTTCGATCCCGGGTTCTGGCATTGACGTTTTACGCAAAACTAAGATGGAAACAGAATTTGCTTTTTAAAAGGAATAAATCAATAGCCATTCTATTTACAAGACATCTAACAGTTTAATATAACCGTCGTGGTTGAACACGCGCAACACAGAATACACCCCCTGTATACTTCCAACTTAGAATCGATGCTTGGTACTACAAAATCGTGTTTTCTAGCCTTATAAGCTTTGTCGATTAGCGTCAAATGTCATTCTATTGTATATAAATGTATATGTTCTGATGAGTGCAAGTCGAAAAATACTTTAGCATGCCCTTTTCGTTTCTGAAGTCTATTTTCCGACTTCCAAATTCCTTGGTAAGTTACTCAAAACTGAGGATAATCTGTTCTTTGTAAAAGTCAGATTCGCCCATCCACAGCGAATCTGACTTGTATTGAAATATTTTCATAATAATAGACCTTTAAGGTAATGTGAAAAGCTTTGCTTACATATATTTTACACTTCAGTGACACGATCCACCGAGGCCCCTAAAAGAAAATGTACATGTGAACGTTTTTTTTTACACAACAAGCGTCGGGGAAACCTTATTTGAACACAGTGGCGTAACGGAGGGGGAAGGCACGTGCCCCTTCCAGCGGATGCCCGTGCACCCTCCCCGAGGTGCCTCCCCCACCCCATTTGAATCTGTGAATCCGTTGAAATCCAGCTGCAGTTTATTTTCTTGTGGTATCCCCTTGAAAAAAATGTGTGAACCCCAGGTGCAACCCCCCCAAAAAATTATCCCTATAGTGACACCACTGAAGGCTATAATCATGGCGTTTGAAAGAAGTTTTTTCAAAGGGAAGTTAAGTCCGACATTTCAAAAGGCGAAGCTTCCACGAGCCTCTACGAATAGTCTCCTTTTTCTGAATGGCAATGAAACAATTTTACCATAGGAAAATACTT